GTGTTCCGTCGCCATCAGTAAAGTTCGCCTGCCGTTAACGTCCATAATATATCGCAAATTTAACTAAAATACTTGATCAAACAAATTGTTCTCTTCCACAGCACCACAGAAAACCACAGGTAACCCAAGACTAATGGTAATGCCCGCTGACAAATTTTTTCCCTTACCCGATCCTTTATCCGTCCGATTGCCAGTTAATTAAAGGGTTTTAAGCCATATACCAAAACAACCGCTCTTCAAATGTAACATTCCTCGTTCTGACAGCCATAAACCACAAGAACCGCGCTTCAGATATATTATTCCTCGTTCTATAAACCATAAACCAAAACAAAACAGCACGCGGTCAATCGCTAGGAAAAGCCTGCTCTAAATGACAATAAATATAATATTCGTCGCTCTATGAGCCATAAAGTGCAGCAAGTGCAGTGCATTTCAACAGAAATATTCTTCCTTCTATAAGAATATTCCTCACTGTATATCGGTTACCTACACGAAGATCTAAGTTTTGAAGAGATAGGTGACTCATTTACCAGAGGGCGAAACCTTCTGGGACGAGGCTCCACATGGTAAATAGTAAACTTTAAGACTAGCCAAGCTAACTAAACAATGAATAAAGTGGGGAAACTGCTTTAAGTACTTGTATTCATACGCAAGCAAACAAATGAACTGTGCGACAGGAAAAGGGGTTACAGTTAAGGCAAAAGATAAAAGGTATCTGACAAGAGAAATCAGAAAACTTGATGGTAAAACAACATCGGGAACGCGAATAAGCTCCGGCTATGAAATAGCCGAGGCTCTAGTGAGACAACAACAACAACAACATTTGTTAATGATATAAGAAATAAATCATATATGAACCGCGGAAATCAAATGAAAATGAAGAAATGATCGTCGCAGTGAACGCAATTTATGCAATTGCGTAAAGAAGCCTGAAAAAAATTCATGCAGGACTTCAACGGCGTTTGAACCCGTGACCGCGATGCTCTACCAACTGAGCTATGAAGCCACTGACGTTGGGAGCAGGCTAAGTTTCTAATGCTGGATTTTCAGTAGCTGGTCTAGATCGTTCAAAATTAGGCGTTTATCAATTTCAAAGTTTTTTTTTCATTGTTGTCATAGTAATATCGATTTTACTAAAACCTACATTTTGACAAATTTCAATCGGCTATAGTCAATCATTGGTGAAAATTTTAAAGCGATCAGACAAGGATAAAATCACTTATAAAGCGATTGCAAAATATCGGTATGGCCTTTGAAAAACTTTATCGAAACGCCTTAACTTGGCTTCCTACTATGTCTACTATGTCCTTACCCCCTCCCCTGACCCCCGCCCTTTCAAGATTTCTACAACTTGGGCTTTAAGGAAAAAAATGGTGGCAACGCCCCTGATTGTCTTAGAAAACCACAACTGTATATCGGTTTCCGACACGACGAACTAAGTTGTGAAGGGAGGGGTGACTGAGAGGGCCACACAGTAAGAACTAAGTTGTGAAGGGAGGGGTGACTGAGAGGGCCACACAGTAAGAACTAAGTTGTGAAGGGAGGGGTGACTGAGAGGGCCACACAACGACGATTTTTAGCGCAACACAGCGTTGCAATGTTGGAACAATGTTGTAACTATTCGAAACAATGTCGCAACAATGTCGCAACGCTGTGTTGCGCTAAAATCGTCTGGTGTAACATCACCTTTAGAAAACCAAAACTGTATATCAGTTGCCGACACAAAGAACTAGGTTGTGAAGGGAGGGGTGACTGAGAGGGCCACACAGTAAGAACTAAGTTGTGAAGGGAGGGGTGACTGAGAGGGCTACACAGTAAGAACTAAGTTGTGAAGGGAGGGGTGACTGAGAGGGCCACACAGTAAAAAATTTCCAGAGATCGGGGCATTTTGGGTAGCTAAGCTCCACTGGCAGCTAAATAAGGAAGCTAACTAGCCGGGTTAACTAAACTGGAGAAACTCAGACTAGTGCGTTTCTTTACTAAAATCCAAGAACAGATCAAAAATCCGGATCATTGGGATTTTTAGTTAGGAAAAGAAACGATGGATCCAAATGAGAAAACAGTCTTTTTACTCAACCAGTGTGGAAACAGGATTTTGCCTCCACAAAGGGATAAACGGACGACGAGGAAAACTCCACAATACTCTCTGGGAAAGGACTTTTCCTGGGGACACTCGCTGGCTGCGGGAAGGCACGGAACCACTTACGCCTGTTGAATACCCTTGAGACAGCAATTGAACACAGAACTTGGCTCCAATGTAGAGGCTTAATCCAAGACGTAACCAGGATGTAACCGAAGAAATTCATAGAAAGCACTCGTATTTAAGCCTAAGCTACTGATGCGATACAGATCACATCAAAACTCAACGAGCCAAAATAACCAAATACAAAAATCATTTCTGAAAGACTATTAATTGGTGGGAATGGAAGCTTGTAGTGAGACATTAATTACTTCCAAAAGTTACACAGGTGGATAACAGTTTCTCACAGTTTAATTACAGCTTGGAGGCTACTACAATCATGACTCGACAAATGAGTTTACGCTCAATAAATATCAACAGGCTGTTTACGGTTTAGGGAAGCTAAGACTAAAGAATAAAGGATTTCTACATTGGCTTTTCATATTTCAATCAGCGAAAACAGTATGATTTAATAAAAATAAATTCTCTCTTTACATTCCTCCTCCTTAAGTTTCAGCTTTCCTCAGCTGAATGGAGAAAAAATGATGAAAAACGATACCTGGTTTGAAGAGAAGAAACAAAAGCGCAGCGAATAAAACTGGAAACTTGAATTGTATTTTGCGTTTAGTTTTGAATTTTTTTCATATTTGTTTTTCTGGTTTTTGGAATTTTGTACTTGATTTTGTGCCTGAACCGCGGCATAAACCGAACTAGCCGGAATATAGTGGCCTCGGGGGTCCAATTAACAAAGCAATAAAATAAGCAAATATAATAAAGTACGCTAACTAGAATTTGTATCGTTTGTGCAAAGGACACGACGTGAGGTCAATTCATGTGGCTTCTTTTTTTGCAAACTTGAGTGGAGCCATCTGGAAAGCGTCCACGCGGTGTCACAACAGGGCTGAAGACTTTGTGAGATAGCACAGTTAAGACCCGATGTTGCTTTGAATGGCTACGCCTAATTTAGTATAGAACCTTACCCTGTTGCTGGGGTTGTTCCACTTGCCGATAAGATCTCTTAGGGTCTTACACTGTCCTTAAAAACCAAATCGTTTGTCAACTTGATATTAAAAAAAAGCGAACGTGAAAAAGCCTATGAAATAGTAGTCTTACGCATAACTAAAATCGAGTAAATGAAAAACTACAAAATTAATGATTTGTCAATAGACACGTCTAAAATGACTCTGTAAAATATAGTATAATAATGAAAATAAGAATTGACTACTGATTCCTGATGTCCCTCTCAGGTGACTACTGAACAAGTTACTACTGCACAAGGTGTGCACACGAATAGTCTTCTAAAAGAATCTACGCAAGGTACACTCAATTTTCTCTTCGGGACGAGCAGTTCCCACGCGATGAACGCTCCACTTTATATTTGTTACACAAAGAAAATGAGTTCAACTTCAGGTAGGAACCGCTTCACTGCATTCGCTTTGTACCTATACAACAAAAACAGAAAAAAAGCAACATTAGCAAGCTAGCAGGAGTAAAGGTTAACGATTTCAGTCGGCGAGGTGCAATATTCTAAATCTGTTAGAGTAAAAGATAAAATTTAAGCCGGTTAAGAGCCTTATTGTAAATTTATTGATACTTTCATACCATGAACCCTCTATAAAGCCCCCCTCTCTAATAAAACCCCCCCCCCCCCCCCCCCCCCCCCTCCCCCACAAAAAACCCCCCAAAACCCCCCCCCCCCCTCACGCTTTTGTCCGTGGCGTTATCATTCGACCTTGCCCCCCCACCCTACCCTCCTCCCCCCAACT